TAAAATTATTTGAAAAAAACCCCCTGTATAATGATTTGCTATCCCAGTTAGGACAAAGAGGATAAATACAGATGAGCAACTTGCCAATTGGCAAGTGCGGGAAGACTTACTCTTTGAAAAATCTCTAACCTTTGCTGCTCATTAGAAATTGTGGCAACATTCCCCCTGCCCCACAGGTCACGATGCTCATTAATACAGATGAGTAATCTAAGAGTGGAAAATTTGTAAATTGGCTTATATTGGGAATTCCTTAAGTCCAGTAGACTAGTCTATAGACAAAAAAGAAACCCTGAAAAGACATATGTCTCCCAGGAACTGGTACTAAGTGCATACCACCTCTGATCTTGGAAGTCCACTTAGCCATCATTAGTACTACTTAATGGCTCTGCTTAACATGAATTTGTAATCACCACCACATCTGATGACAGTGAATCCTATAAGTTAACTAGATTGTATACTGTGTACAGAGACACTATATTTTATCTGACCTGAATCTCTGCCCAATAAGTTTCATCAAATGAACTCAAGTTTCTAGTATTACGAGAGAGAAATGAAATGTGATCAGAGTACAAAGGTTTGTATTCTGGTAAAAAAACTTCCTAGAATACAAACTTGAGATAAACAAACTGATTAAGGCAAGTGGAATAAATAATCTCTGTTCAAAAGCCACAAGTTCCTGGATTCACAAAGGAGAGTTTTTCTCCAGATAGTTGTTGTTGCTGTTGTTAGTTAGCTTTGAACTGAGATAATTGACTTTGTATTTAGCAAATGTAATTTTGGAAAAGTCCTCTCTTGCTTATGTATTTATTTTCCATGGACAGTGGTGAAGCCGGTGGAATAATTTAATGGTAATATATAGATGAGTTGTGATATAAGCAGTTTTTCCATTTCTGTTGTCTGTTATGCCTGCTTTTTCCTAACAGCCAAGTGAGGGGTTTGGACTGTTGTTGGGCATGGAAATGTGGATTTTTATTGGTAACTACAATACAGTATTAGCAATTCAGCATCTGAGCATAACAAACAGTAGTTCTGTGCATCTCTTGGCTGATAAAGGGACAGTGGAAAAGTAGGTAGGCCAATAGGACTTTAGCAAGTTCTCAGTGCTTAGGTCTTCAGAAGTTTCTTGCCAAGCAGAAAAGGCATTTCTCTTCTGCAAAACATGATGGATATAATAACAAATGGGGACATGTGGGGGAAATCACAGGGTACACTCTCTAGAGCAGTGTTTCTTAAACTTTTTTCTCTCAGGACCCCTTCCCATTTTAAAAATTATGGAGGACCTCGAAAGAGCTTTTGTTTGTATGGATTATATTCATTAATACTTACCATATTAAAACTTAAAATTGATGCATTCCGTGCTGCTATAGCTTCTCACAATTGTTTGATGGGATTTTAATACTGTATTATTTTTCAACATAGGCTGGCAAATAATTTTGATTTTGTGGACCCCTGAGAGGGTCTTGGGGGGCCCCCAGAGGTCCTAGGACCACACTTTAAGAAACACTGGCCTAGAAGATCCCTGGTAGTAGATAAGGTGTTAAGGGGAAATGCCTGCCACTGGCTAAAACCCATCACCAGCCACAACAGGCAATGCTGGACTAAGCAGCTAAGTGATCTGAGGTAGTATAAGGCATTTCTCTATGTTCCTGTTCTTTTGGGCAGGGGGAGGAGGAATAACCAGGCTTAGAGAAACTATGCCTAAAAGTGTACTTTAGTCAACAGGGGCTCAGCCCTTGGAAATGAGGACGGGGTGAGGAAGATGCCAGCTTAATGTAGTCCAAGCTTCATTTCCTCTTTCTTGGTATATTTGTGCCCAAGACCAAAAGGAAGCAATTAGGAGGCTGTTTGCTTTCTTTCCTTCTCGCAGACTGGGTTGGCTGAGGCGGCCTGCTTGCAGAGAGTTCCTTGCTGCTTACGTTCCCTGGCAGGTTGAGGACAACAAACCTGGGCCTCCACCAGGTTCTGACATTCTGGTTTTCTGGTTTTCCTATATTGTCCTCCTCATTTTGGTTCCCAGTATGTTTTCTTATTTACTTCTCATATTCCCCTCCACCCCCCTCATGTCTGTGGAAAAGGCTCCTAGAATTCCTTGCATGTGATTTATAAAATAAAGTGTCCCACCCTTCAGGCTTATAATGTAAAAGTCATGACACCAAAAGAAAAATGCTGGGGAGAGAAAACAAACAAAACAAAACCAAGTCCAGGCCAACTGTTCTGAAAATCATACAGGAGTCTCAATTATGACCAGCTGGTATGGGAACAAGTCAGGGATAGGAGGAGCTGGCTGGTCTCTCAGCAGAGTTGATGGGATGTCTCTGTTTCCTATCTGTCTCTGTACTTTTATGATTCTTTACCCTTTAATACAAAGTCTTTCACCTAAATTACCTGTAAGTATTAGTGTTGGTGTAGTTTAGATAGGCCCTGAGGCTAAGAAAACATAGGCTGTTTAAAGTTATCTAGTCAGAAGAAGCAAGACTCTCAAAGGGACAGATAAGAGCCAAGTTTCCAACCTCCTCATGATGTATACGTTCATTATTCAGTGGATGTTTATCAGATAGTCACTGACTCACATTAATATTCAGTATCTAAAAGAAGCAAATTTGGGATCAGCAAGAGAGAAAGGAGAAAGAGTTGTGAGCTGGCAGCTTGAAGCATCTAGGGCTACAGAGGTCTCCTTGCTGGGGACCTGCTTGGTAGGGATGCATGTTACTTATCTCCACTTATATGCTGCTTGTATAATAAGCCAGAAGCATTTGGAAAACTGGGAAAAGTGGTGATTATATAAATAATACAGAGGGACAGGCTTCAGAAGTGCCTTTTCCCCCACTACCCAGTCCCCACTTTTGTGGACAGTGACACTATCTTTCCTTTCCTTCCATGCTTCACTTCTTGGCTCTGTATCCCCAACATCTGGAGATACTTTCTGGCAGAGGAAACCTGCCTTTTTTGTCCCAGCTGTGGGTGCTGGGCATACATATGGTTAATGGCAGCTGTGCTCACAGCTGAGGGAGGAGGGCTGGCGGCGTGCAGTGTCTGCCCCTTTCTTTCCCTTTCTGTCTCTCTCTCTCTCTCTCTCTGTTTTCCAGAAAGCCTATTTCTGCTTGGCGCCTGAGATCTGAAGACTAGAGGCGGAACTGCTGGGCTCTCCTCTCTGCTTTCTCACAGGGGTGGATGTATTTATGTCGAAGGGGATGCTGTAGAAGTCCAAAGGCAAATACAAGCAGTGGCTGTGGCAGCCTATCATCCTGTCCCCAAGGTAGGTGCCAGCAAGTTGGGCAGTGCCAAGGGCAGGTGCTTAGGACTGTGTGAAACCATGCATGCAAAGGAACAGGAATTGACCTGAGCAGAGAGGATGAGTGACCAAGTCTGCCTGGAGTCTTGCATGAGAGTCCTTCTTCCAGAATGCACTGCAAAGCTTGGGCTGGTGGTGCTCTGAATGCTGCAGAAGGTGTGAATGGGCCAGGATCTGCATGGCGTGTCTACCTTCTCTTACAATAACAGAAAGGTCGCTTTTGTGTCTCTCTGTTCTACTATATAACTTTGTTGGTCAGAAAGCCCCATGTAAAGTAGATGTACAAAATGAGCCAAGACAGACAAGCCTCATCTTCTATTCTTACACAGATTCTGTTTTTGAGGAATTGTCAACAGTCATGGATGCATCATTGCCCTGGCATGGGGAAGGGATACAACCACTGTCCCGCTGAGTTTGATGCATGCCGACAGTAAATTAGCAACTAGTAGCTGTGAAGTGAGGACAGAGTTCCTGAAACCTAGCTCCTTCACCCAAAATGTCCTTTCTGTGTTTGCCAGAGTATTAAAGTTTGTAACACTGAGAAGATTTTTCTTGCAGGCCATGATGACTTTATATTCCCAGGCATTACTGGCTGCTATATCAGACCCTTGGGAGATGGCGAGTTGCCAGAGTGAACCGGAAAAAACAAACACAGTCTGGGAGCACATCTTTGTTTGCACTTCTCAACTTTTCTCTATGCAAGTCGACATTGGTCGGTCCTGTTCTGTGCTGTCCTCTCTCTCTCTCTCTCTCTGCATGTACACAGATCTTCTTTAATAAATAGGAGCTGTTTGACAGGCATGTGTTTAACTTTTGGGGATGGCTTTCTCTTTCTCCAGGATGATTTAGATGTTCCATTTATTGTAGTACTGCTGGCATACTTTTATTGGGAGACTTTGGGGGCAGAGGGAGGGATAGGGTTGGTATATCCATTCAGATTTCTTGTTTTCACCATTCCATGGCTTTGGGACAAGTTACTTTGGAAAAGTACCATGAAAGTAGAATAAAACCTCATTAAGTATGAAATGCGGTCAAACAAGAGCTGTTCCTTCCTCATAACCACAGCCATCTAACATCTGCCATGCATAGAGGTTCCTGCAGCACTTCTCACAATGCTGGAGTACTGTCCAGAGGAAGGGAATTTCCTAACTGGAACAGCTGCTAAGAAACTGGCTCCCCCCTCTGTGTGGGATGCTACTGTATACAGTTGCTTGTTAGCCCATATGCAGAAGTTTTTCTATTACACCAATTAATATACTGCTGCTCTCAGGGCATCGGATGCAGCCTCCCTGTTGAAACTAATAAGAAGTAACTCCCTGGCAACCTCCTCTTTGCTCCTTTGAATTTCATGGCAAAATACAACAGGAAGTAAATGGTGCTAAATAAATATGTGAAAATCTTACTCACATATCTGGGTTTTAGATAAATGACACGTATGTTTTCCTCTGCAAATCCATTTCATGGCCAGGATCATACAGGCATGTACTTTAAGACAGGCATGTGCTTCTTACTTTTTTCTCCTGTTGGCAACTTGATTTCCTGGTTGCAGTTCATTTGCCCACCTGTATTTTTGCTTAGTACCCAGTGCCAGTGTGTAAGATTAGTCATACTATGAGGATGTGTATAAAAAAAATTGTTCTAAGCTATACCTTGAGTAAACTGTGTGGTGCATCTTAAATAAATATATTTATGATATTTTGCAGTGTATAAAGGCATAAATGCATATGTGTATGTAAAGCACACCAAGCATGCACAGTAGCTGATCAGTACCATTTAATCTGTTCAAGAATCTATGTTAATGCTTTACAATGAGTTAACTAATCTGGCTTCCATATAAGCAGCCGGAAAAATTATAGTTTTGTATTTTCACTAAAATTTCATTATCCTCAAAGCCTCAATTTCTGGAAATCCTTAGAAGACAAGTTTCAGAACAGCATTTATCTCTAACTCTGATCATCAATGCATTACAGAGTTAATGGTATGTCCCTTAATCATTATGAGAGTGCATACACATTTATATACTTGATGGCTGAAGAATGCCTGTGCTTGCCTGTGTGTTGTCTAAATGTGGCCCATGAAAGTGTGACTCCTACTTTTAGTGGGCTGCAGTTGTGCTTCTTTGACAACATGCCATATCATTCTGTTCCATAACAGTTATCACTATCTCCATGAGAATCTTCTGAATCCAGATCTTGAGCCAGCTGTGTGGTTCATCCCTTGTGGGTATTTCTTGGGCCTTTTGACCATAGATTTTAGGAGGTGTGGCCAATTTTGCCTGGTACTACTTTCTCCCGGTTTATTATAGACCAGGGGTAGGCAAGCTTCCAGTATCTGCACATTTGTACATTGCTATGTATTTTGCCATGAAAGACTGGATTGGACAAATCAGATGAATGGCACTTAAGAGGGAGTGAATCTCATAATTGCATTGAAATGTCCCAGATGCAGTTTCTCTACCAGGTTTTTAGAGCAGAACAGTGTGTGGGAGAAAAGGATCCATCTCAATCTTCTCTGGACTCTTTTTTTCTCATTTTGTAGGAAAATTCTGCAGGAAACATGAGTCTGGAATGCCCAGCTCCCATTTTTTCACAGCAAAGCGGTAGAGGAAGAGCAATTTGCAGGAGGAAAAGAATGGATGATAGGGGTTTGAATCATCTCTCTTTCTCCCCACCCCAATCATATTTTAACTACAGTGACTCTCAGCTAATTTTTCCTACTAACCTTCTCAACAACCTTATCCATGAAGGGAAGGTTGGGAGACTCATTGATTCTTGTGTAATATTACTTGGTCAAATGATGGTTTCTTGAAGAGGAGGTGCATCACCACCTCTTTCAAGCAGCTGGTAGTATTTCTTCTTCCAAGGTTGCATTCACCACCAACCTGACCCAGCCTCCTCTCACCAACTTGGAAGCTTTCACCAGACTATCCAGGCTCTAAGTGGCAGAGCTGATGCAACAGAGAACCCTGTCAGCTTCCTCTAGAGCAGTGTTTCTCAACCTCAGCCGCTTTAAGATGTGTGGACTTCAACTCCCAGAATTCCCCCAGCTATCATGCTGGCTGGGGGTATTCTGGGAGTTGAAGTTCACATATCTTAAAGTTGCTGAGGTTGAGAAACACTGCTCTAGACCAATAGATTTAAACCATTTCAGATAACTTCACAAGACATAGTCTTACCTTGAGAGGAGTTGCCCAGCTGGTGTCTGAGCCATCAGAGTGGTTTTGTCTAGAAGAAGTTTAGAAAATTCTTCACAGTGGTTTTGCAGGTGTTCTTCCACCAATCTTTCCCTAAAAGAGTCTGTGTTATTTTGAAAATGGCTGCTGGGTGGTAATCTGTGGAGGTAATAAAAGCAGAGAACTAATTATGTTTTGATGCTTTTACTGCCACGGTGTAGGCTTGAATGTGAGTTGTTATTCATATTTGGTCAGATTCCTTCTTTATCTTCTGCCAGTACAGGTAGTCCTCACTTAACAACCACAATAGGGGCTGGAAAATTGGTTGATGTGGGGCAGTTGTTAAGCAAGTCACCACCTGACTGCACCCGATTTTATGACCATTTTTACAATGATCATTAAGTGAATCACTGTGGTCATTAAGCAAATCACATGGTTGTTAAATGAATCTAGCTTCTCCAATGGACTTTTTTGCTGGAATTCGCTTAACAACCATGTGATTTGCTTAGTTGTGGTGATTAGCTTAACAGCCATCGTAAAAAAGGTTGGAAATTGTGATCATGTGACCGCAGGGGGTGTAATGGTTTGTGACAGTCGTTAGTGCAAGTACAGGTTGTATAGCACTTTTTCCAAGGCCGCTATAACTTCAAACCATCATTAAATGAATGGTTGTTAAGTGAGGACTACCTGTAATGCTCTAGACTTCTTCTAAGCAATTTCATCTTCCGGAGCTCTCCAGTAAACCAAGGAACTCCCCTGGATTGGCAAACTGGGAGAGGTTGCATAGGCACAGTGCTATCCAAGGTTTTAGCTGCCTCGTTCCAGCAGGTGACTAAAACCTCAACAGAACTGCCAGCCAGAATCTTAGGAAACTCCCTAACTGCCTTCTGGAAACTGAATGGTTCTATTAGACACCTATAGTGATCATATAGGTCCTTCCTCCCTGCACAGGTTGGTAGCACCAGTCAACTCCATAGAAATCAAAGAGTGATCTGACTACGATAAGGGACAGATGATAATGTCCCCATACTCAGTTCACACTGCATCTGTCCTGAGACAAAAAGATCTAACTTGCGGCCTCCTTTGTGATCCAGGTCCTCAGTGACCTGGGACCTTGTCATGGTGGCCATGAATTACCAGAACCTTCATTTGAAGAAGGCAGGTTTAAGTCCCCCAGCACCAGAAGCCTAGGGAATTCTACCACTAATCCTATGTTCAAGTCAAGCAGCACAGGCAGGGACACCACCATACAGTTTGGAACAGTACAACAGCAGTCTCATCTTACCCTCTGAGTGCAACATCACAAACAAAGCCTCACATCTGGCAGTTCTAGTACTTTTGATTGATTATTGCACTGGAAGGGAGGCTCTACTTCCTGTGCCTCTGCAGAGAATCAGCAGAAATGAATGGTGAGCAAGCAGGTTAATGTCCTGCCTCTTGAGCATCTCTAGCAGTTTTATTGGCCTGTTTTCTCCAACAGGACACAACGCCATGAAGGGACCATTGGCACACAGTACTTTTTGGCTTATCTGCCTACTATTCCAGGCTTATGGAAATGAGAGAGAAGCAGAAGAGAGGCCTGGAATGCCCACACGACCACCACTCTGGGATCATACTTCCAGGTGAGTCATTACAATAAAACCAACATGACATACACAACACACACACACGCCTATTCTTTTGAGTAGTGGAAGCTGATCTCAAGGGACCATGGTTAGACAAGACTACATATCTGGGCAGCTGTTCAGAACTGTGAAACTTTTAACTAGAACTGCTGACAGTTGAAGAAAAGACTTCATGGTTGTACTTCAATGCCCAATTAACTTCATTAATGTGCATCTTCAGTGTGCAGTTTATGCACAATTAACTCACTCTGTCCCACTTTAAATTAAGCCAGAGGCTGCTGGGTGATAATGGCTCTGGAGGAGGTGCAAATGACTGCAAAAAAGGACCTTAATGGTTGAATCATAGGCATACAATTAAGGATCCTGTTTAATCAGACTGAACATTCTCTAGGCATCTCTGTACTGGAAAGGGCCATGTTTGTTTATATTAGCATCCACACCAGTGAACTCCTTCACTGTCTAGGTTCCATCCAGTCTTAATCTGGCCTGATCATTCCTAGAAAACGTACAGAAATGTTGGGTGTCTCTGTGTTATTTGAGAAATGTCCAGCGAGGGAAAACAACCTCCTGCAGAATTTCTTTAGCTCCCTCTTCTCTTTCCCCAATAGAAAGGAATAGAAGTAATGTCAATACCAGATTTATTTAGGCATCGTAGCTCTTCCTCCTCTGATCTCCTGTGGTCTACTGTATCCATTCTTACTTAATACCAGGCATCCAACCATTGTTTAAATGTTGGGTGGCACCTCTACCAATAAGATGGTTACACATCATGCTGTAGCACCCAGGAGACTGGAATTACTGGCTTCTCAACCCTCTACAATATTTTTCATTTTGGAACCCTTTTCCTCCCTTTCCCCAACCCTTCTGGAGCTGCAATCATCTGCTGGTTTAGGTTTCAGGCAAGCCTCTCCTTTGGAATAATGGGGCCCTGTGCTAGATCACAAGAAGGGAAATACAGAGAAATATCTGGCCAAACTACACCCCCCGCCCCAGTCATGTCCCTATCTAATTCCTTGAAAAAAACATTTTGCCTAATCTCTTGGCAAGAGGATCCCCTGTTCCTGCATTGGGCCAAAAGTTGTTCCCCTGAGGGAGCACAAGCCAGCAACCATCTGCTAAAAGTTAGGAGAAAAAAAGGTATGGCATCTATTCAATTGATGTAGCTGAAGGGCATGTCTTTTTCACCAACAGATGCACAATTATATGAAGTAAGCAGCGCCAGCCCTCATGGTTGCAGAATAAATTCAGATGTTATAGCCCCCTACGGTCATTGGGTGCAGCTTTCGCTTCCACGGTGGCTAGCCATTTTTCTTTACCTTCAAGGCTTTAGATTTCCCTGAGTCTTTTCAGTCTGGCTAATTCAATTATCTGTTTCCACCCCCACCTCCACAGAATGTCTCTTCTACTTCACTAGGACGAGGAGGGAACCCAGCTGTGCTAACGGCCTGGCTACTCTCCTGCCACCTTTCCCAAATCAACCCTGTCAGTGCTCGACCAGTTTTCACCAAATTTTGCAAACACATGCACTGGCAGAGTAGAACAGAGGTGAAGGACTATGGGGAGACCCAGGTTCAAGTCTGCTTTCAGCAAGGAAGGTCACTGCATGACTCTGGAGCAACTTACTCTTTTTCTACTTCACAGGATTGTTGTGGGGGAAATTGGAGAAGAGAGTCCTAGGCATATTGCCCAAAGGTCTTAGAAGAAAGGTGGAATATACATCTAACAAATAAATAATGTTTTTCAGGCATCCTCCTCAGCTAGTCCATACAATATAGATGTATTTAGAGCTTTTCTTCACTAGTTATTTACCATATCACCTGAAAGACTGGGCAATCCCAATTTTACACTTTGGTTCATGTTACTGGCCTTGTCTTGTCCCCAGGCAATGATTTATAATGCCTCATCCTGGTTTTTACCCTACAGCAAAATGTATAGAATAGAGAAGAGAATTGGGAAAAGTGATAGTCACGCTAACAGCTTTTTGTATTTCTATAGCAAGGGCTAAGTTTCCCTTAAGATCATTAGTGAAGAAAGATAGGTAGATGAACATCTGTGGTGCAGTTACTATACTTCAGACATGAAATTTATTGGGTGGAGGAGATGTGGCTTTAATTTACAATCTTCCCTTGCTTTTCTTTTATTCTTTTTCAGCTTTTTCAGTTTTTGTCATCCTTAATAGATTGTATTGTTGTTGTTTTTTATAAGAAAAAAGATGAGAAAATGATGGGAAGGTTGCAATTTTTAAAAAATCTTTTTTCATGCTTAGATAATTATTCAGGTAGTAAATGATTGGTAAATGTATTTAAATTACAGCTACAACAAGGTCCATTGTGACAATCTTTTCCTTGTTATCATTTTATCCCACCTTTACTGTGTACAATTCAAGACAGCGAGCATAATGCTCTCACTTCCTGTTTTCCCCACAACAACAATTCTGTCTGGTGGGTTGGGCTGAGAGAAATAGCAACTGGCCCAAAGTCACCCAGCCAGTTTCCATGCCCAAGGAAGGTCTAGATCTCCCATCTCCTGGTTTCTACTCCAGTACTTTAACCACTACACCAAACTGGCTCTCTTGTTTAATTAAAGGAATATGCAGCCTTGTTTCCATTAGGGAATCCTACAGCATCCTCATGCATATCATTCTGGAAATGGCTGGAGGGTATGTCTACAGGATACATGCATTTATTTCTCTCAGTCACAACAAATTAAGTGGTTAGGGCTGGAATCATGGTAACTGCAATGGAAAAAGAATAGCATAACTGATTTTCAGTCTCACAGTAAACTGGTCAAGTCAGTTGAAAGCTGGCCTTGTCTTGAATTGGAGTAATAGAAAATGGACCTAACAGGGAGATAACCTATCCCAGTTCTCTCATGACAATTCAAAAGCTGTAATCATACAATCCTGGGTTAAAAACTAGCACTAAGCACTTATAGTTTCATAAAAAGCCAAGATTCCACGATTAACTAGGCATCAAAGTTTTGAAATATAAGAACCTTGACTGTCAACAAGGACTGATTCCATGCATGTTCTAGTATTTAAATGAATGCAGACTAAAGTTTTGTCTCAGCAGCTCTTGGGTTCTGCCAAAGGACACCTGCCACAGCTTGAACTGGATTGTAGTCCACACAGACCTCTACTCCCAAGGCGCTCTTTCCCATAATGTGGCATTTCTCTGCAATTCTGCTCTCTGGTGCTTAAGTTGGAGGCAGTGGCCCACTTGCAGATGTAATTATTATATCTTGGCTTCAAAGTCTGGGCTCAAGGTTGCACAATTGGGGATGGGGGAAGACAATTGTGCTAGGCCCTGGTTTCTTGGGATTGGTCTTGCTGGTTGTTTGCTGGGGGGTGATAAGTTGTCCACGCAGGGCTCTCAGTAATTCCTGTCAACCGCTTTTAACTTTTCATATTTTGTGGAACAGTGCTGTTGAGGAATAGGATGGGCTTATAGAGATAAAACGGGGGGGGGGGCTGAGTCTCCTTCCCCAGTTCTGGCCCTTTGACCACTCTGCCTATGCTGTTTCTGCCTCCCAGAGCTGAATATGGCTATCAGAGACACAGCAGGCAGCCAGGAAGGTCGGAGTGTGTTCGCTGCTGTGATCCTCCTGCAGTACATCCCATGTATTATCCCTTGCCTCAGATCAACATGACCATCCTGAAAGGTAAGGGGTACTGGGCCAGTTGTGCTGTTCCGGATTCAGAATGTGAGATTTAGGGAAAGGAGTCAAGCATCCATTTGTTCATGACCAACGTGTATCACAAACACACATCTGTGGACAACATGAAAACTATCATGGATATTAGAGCATGATGCACATGTATCCATGATCAACTGGATTGGAGATGTCCTACTTGCCCTCCTAAGATTCCTGAGCTGGGTCTTTTTTTGACATCCTGGAAAAACATTTATTGCTCCTGCTATTGGTCATTCCAAGGCTTAAAATTGGCAGTGACCTCTCACCAATGGCGAAGGCCACATCCACACAATTGTTTTGCTGTACTCCCCTCCCTGAGCCAGCATCTTAGGGACTGTGATTGGCTGTTTTCTTGGTTGACATTCCAGCCCTGCCCAACATCATCCATCATGTGAAAAGCCTCCTCTGATGGGCACGCACAACACTCTGATTACTCCATGTACTGCATGTCCCCCTATTTCTTTCCTGTGAAGTTACTGACTGATTTTCAAAGATTACTTGAAACTACAGGTTGGCCGGTTGACTGTTTGACATATCAGCCACTAAATGGCAGCAAAGAGAGTTTTTTGTCTCTCTTGGTTGCCATGTAGTGGTCATCCAGACTTGTACAGTGAAGATGCAGTTGTTGGATAAGTGCTATTGAAGAACTGGAGTTTGAGAAAGGGGATTAGCTGTAGGGATTGGTGTGACAGCTATAAATTACTCTAAGAAAATTATGTGAGGAAAGGAAGTCAGGAGCAGGTGCTTCCCTGGGAGCAGTAGCTACTGAAAAGGAATTCCCTACCATCCAGGCTACAGAAGTACAAGAGATGAGTTCTTTCAATAATACTTTGAGTGATATGCCTTAAGCCAGGGATTAGTCAATGTTAAGGTTTCACATTCTCTAGGTCAACCAGTCCACTAGCGGACCAGCCCATTAAAAAAAAAAAGTGGTTGTAGAAGCTGGGATTCTGGGGTCCCATGTGACCAAAAGAGGATTGAGGCGTAGGAGAAGTCATCATGGAAGGAAGCCTGCAGAACCAACTGGAGCCTCCAGTTTGCCAATGCAGAATATGTAATTTCAGGCTGCCTCCCCCCGTGCATCAATACTCCTTTTATTGCCCACATACAGCATCTGGAGACTGAATAAGAGGAAAAACACCATGGCAAAAAACCTAAAAGCATATTTGAGCTGCCTTCTGTGGATAATAAGACACAGGAAGGGGCATGTGGATAAGTCCTCTGGAAGTGGTTAGTGGGCTGTCCTCACCCAGGAGTAAAGCAGCTGTGTAGATTTGTCCCAAGGCTGTGTGGTGAGCTCATCAGGTTGGGGCAGCCGGAGGGAATGTCATTTACATTTCCTACAATGTCCCCAGCATAACATTGCCCTGGAGCATTGTGAGAAGTTGAAACACTAGCTCAGAAACAGGAGAAATAAATATAGCTGTACTGATCTAACCAAAGGCATATTGAGCTGGGACTTTGTTCCTATCCAATACTTTTGATTCGTGCACAGACAAGATTTTCCCACTTCTGCTCTCCAACAGTTGGTTTCACAGGATTTAGAAGCTGCTCAGATCAGGGAGGTAATACAGCTGTCATCACTAGAAGGCATGGATAGCCGCATCCCCCATTAATTTGCTGAATCCCCTTTAAGAATATTTAACTCAGCAGCAGCATTATGGACTGAGGTAATGAACACAGCTGTCTGATCAACTTTGGAACAGAGAAGAAAAGAGGGCATAAAATGCCTCATGTTGAAATCAGGCCTATACTCTGTCAGTCCTTCAGATCAGGGGGCAAGATAGCCGTGGTTCCTCCAACCAGTTTCACCCTGGTTCTCAGATTCTCTTCCATCAGTAGGGTGGCCTCCCTGCACTCTTCTTAGATTATCCCATCAGTCCTGCCTGTGGAAGGAGAGGGAGAGGGAGCATAATGCACAGCCAGAGGGCAAATAAGCTAACAATATTGCAGCTGCCTCACCTCTTAATTCATGAGAGGATTTAAAGGGGCACAAATGTCAAAGAGCTCTATGATATGCCCTAGCCTTCCTACGTCCCATCATTTCATAAGGGGCCGAATCACAACTTATTACTTGGCATTGGTAGCTTTGGCCATGCTCTGAAGTCCCCGCCCATCTGACCCCAACCATTTAGCTGCCAGTGTGGCGCAGAAATGGGGTAGGTTTCCAGAACCCACGGAGAACTTGCTTTTGGTGCCCTGTCCCTCCCTTTACCACAATGTGGAGAGGCTGCCTTTGGACAAACCTTTGGGTTCTGCAGGGTCCAGAGAGCCAGGTTAGGGAGAAGTTGTGTGGGTTAAGTAAATTTCCTGGCTGGAAGGAATTGTTATGACAATTTCATCCAAGTTCCTTCCTTACGGAGGCCAAGGGAAACCGACAATTAGTTCTGAGTCAAACCCAGGATGCCAGAGGTTGCATTAGGACATGGCCTGATTTAGAGGGTGGAGAGGTTGTGTCATCAGAAAAGGCCCCAGGACTGCTGAATCCTGGGATTCCAAAGGAAAAATGAATCCCAGAAACCAAAGTTGGTTTGGGCAGCAGTGGCAATAGGCAGAAACCTTTGTGCACACATTCTCTCACACCCCCACCCCCTTTCATTCACACCCCATCCCACACCCAGTTTCTCTTCTGTCAGAAAACCAGTAACACACTTGTATCTCCTTGACTTATTTTTCAGTTTATATCTTGCTACTCCTCCAGGTCTTAAGGCAGCATACATAGCAGGCCTCCGCTATTTTATTTTTATAACAAGCCTGTGAGGTAGGCTAAGCAAGGCTGAAAGTTAGCTACTTAATTTAATGACTGGGTTAAATCTGGGTTTATAGCTATACACATGTCCATATAAATCTGTACTACCCACCTCCCTGTAATGCAAGTAAGCTTGATAAAATCTTAAACTGAACTAATGGACGGTTTTTCCAACCTGACTCTTTCATTCATCCACACAGAGATGTACACATTGTTTATAACATTCATATATGCATAACACAATTCCACCCCTTTGCCAGCTGCAATTACCCTTCCCTGCTGCAAATACATTTGGGAAAAGCGTTCAGTCGAAACCAAATTTAAGTGCTTCCAGCAGGGCAGGGGAGCAGTGGGGAGAGGTAAACCAAGTCATATGGGGAGACATTGCAGGCTGCATCTGACCTGTGAGCTAGAGGTTCTCCACCTGAGTTACTCTATGAGTATACTGTATCTTTATTGTAGATTTCTCCCTTTTCCAAGCCATGTCTTTTGATTACAAAACTGAAAACTTTTACCTTATTTGAGTATTTTTCTTCAGATTACGTGTTCAGATTACATGACTATGTTATACTTTTTATTTAACAGATAAACAGAATCCGCCGCTCTTAATCTTTAAACTGATTTTGCATAAAATGCAGTGGTAACTCTATTTAATATAGAAAAAATACTAATCTGTTTGATAGCATTGATAGCAGACATACTTTCATCCATGCAGGAAAAAGTATTTTACCGCATATGTGTCTGAAATCTAGGCCAGGAAGGGCATCACATGTAGTGGTTTTTCCCCTGCCACAAGAATGGAGATGGTAGATAGTTTTATTAAATGGTAAGCCAGCAAGGGATACCAGTGGACTGACTGGCGCCATTTCTATCCAGGGTTTTCTGCCACAAGTGGGATGCATGGATTCTTCTATTTATTCCCATGTTGTATTAAAATGTATAAATAGACTTTTAGCCAAGAAATCAGCGATTTTTTACCACAGTAATAGAAATAAAATGTAAACAGCAGAGAAGAAGTCTTGTAAAGTGCCAGGAAAAGAAAAAAAAGAAAAGATTCAAATCAATATTGGTTGCCCAAAGCATTCTGGACACTTTCCACATTAAGGGCATTTTCTGCTGTCTGGTTTGAAGCCAGAAAGTCATTGCACTTTATGAGATCTGTTCTCTTACGTTGGTGATCCCATAAACCCTTGTGGTTGTCTCTCTTCAATTGTTCCTAAAAGATGCCTTCACCAACTGCTACCCTCCAGATGGATTGGACATTAGTTCCCATAATCCTCAGCCAGCCAGCATAAAATTCCCACACAAATTTGGGGGGGGCAGCCAGCTGGAGAAAACTGCAACCTGTCATTACATCTTTATTTCTCAGGTGAGAAAGGGGACCGTGGTGATCGTGGCTTCCAAGGGAAGTCGGGAAAGGCCGGTTCAGCAGGCAAGAAGGGTGAGATGGGCTTCAAGGGGCAAAAGGGCAGCATGGGATCACCAGGAGAGCGATACAAGACCAACTACGCTGCCTTTTCGGTGGGTCGGCGGAAACCTCTGCATAGCAATGACTACTACCAGATACTCGTCTTTGACACTGAGTTTGTGAACCTCTATGGCCACTTCAATATGTTTATGGGCAAGTTCTACTGCTACGTCCCTGGCATATATTTCTTCAGTCTCAATGTACACACCTGGAACCAGAAGGAGACCTATCTTCACATCATGCACAACACAAATGAAGCAGCCATCTTGTATGCACAGGCTAGTGACCGAAGCATCATGCAGAGCCAGAGCCTCATGATGGAGCTGCAGGACCAGGATGAAATCTGGGTACGGCTCTTCAAGGGTGAACGTGACAATGCCGTTTTCAGTGACGAATTTGACACTTACGTCACCTTCAGTGGATATCTAGTTAAACCTAGCTCAGAGCCTTGAATCTGCTAGCAGCTGGACAGTTTGTTCCTAGCAGCTTTAGCTTGTCCCCTTTTCTACTGATTTCTAGCACTACTCGCTGCCAGGAGCCACTCCCTTGCACTGGAAGTACCCACAGAACTTGGATCTTGAGGTACTTCAAACTAGGATCTCTCTTTTGATAAACATGGCTTTTCTTCTACATCAGCCTTACCTGGTGCTCTCCTAATGTGATGGACTAGAACTTCCAAGATGCCAATATTGTACGGTTACAATTCTCAATCTGGTTATGATTGAGACTTTTGGGAGATGTACTCCAACACATCTGGAGGATCCCAAATTGGAGATTCTTGACTTCTGGGCGTTTATGCCAACTTGAACTTATTGATCAAACTCTCATATCTTCCTAGATTATAACTTAATGTTCGTCCTGGTAGGCCTGCCATAACCTGGAAGTCTCTCTGTTGTACTAGGATACACATCCATTATCTCTCTGATTTCAGGTTGATCCATTCCCCAACACTGAACTTCACATGTCCTGGTAGAATCCCCTCCCTCACAGCTATGAAATTGCACTACTTCTAATTCATGCCCATACTGACCTTAACCTCCAGCATCCATTTGTACTCATTTCCAAATCTTCTCCAAAGTGCTTGACAAGTCCCTGGGGGATAGAGCTAGATTTCTTAACCCCCATTTCAACAGTCAGATTATCTTTTCTATGTATATGATTTAAACACCCTTTTCTGCCATTGACCTCTGACCTTCAGGTGCTTTCATTTAACCTTTTAAGTCTTTGAGTTCTCTGCAATGCATCTAAGCCTTCTTCTGCCCCCAAGGATGGACCTTCCCAGATATTTATTACCATTGTTTATTGCCTCTATGCCCTAGCTGGACATTATGTTAATACCCCCTAATAATAAAAAGCCTATTATTATTCAGTAGAACATTAGTTGATAAAACTACGCCTTTTCTTTCTTTGGGAGATATGGTCTTGTTAACTGACCATTTCATTCAGGTCTTGTTTATCTGCTTCTGATGGGGATGCATAACGCTAAAGCACTGGTTCCACAAAGCACTCCTTCCTTCCTTCTAGCTGCCACCCTCATTTTCTGGCAGTGCTTTCTGCCATGACAGAAGTAATGAAAGCCCAGTGTTGCACTGAATACAGGCTTCTTGGTATCAAAATCCTTTTTGCTGGACAGGGATGTCTTGTAGCGTTTACTATCTCTCTCGTAGAAGAGAAGCTTGCCAAGTCTCTAGTACAGGGAGCAAAAGAAAATAATTCTGGTCTTAGGCTTGTGGATTCCACTATTATCTTTTGGCTGGAGGAGCTGAATAAATATAATATCAATAATATCAATATCTTTATCCTGAGGTATTCCATTGGAATCAAATGCCCTGTGAGATTTGGGCTGGTGTCTTCCACTACAAGGATTCCTACTAAGTCCAGAAGCTGTACTGAGCCTCAGATTCTTGCCCTGACTTAGAGATTCCTCCAATCAGCTTTGTGCAAAAACATTATTTACAAAGTAAATAGCTAGCGTGGGATCAGGGCCCTGAAGTGGAGTGAGGGAGGCTTTAGCTCCCTGCCCCATGTATTCATGATCTGAATCAAGACCCAAGTAGGTATTCTTTATATGGAAGGACAGCTTCCATTGTTTGCAAGCAGGGAAAGGGCATGTTCTCTACGCAACAGGAAGCAATTACGCCTTGCATGCATCCTACCTTTGACCTGCTTGACAAGATCTGCTAATCAGAGCTTGGGTTTGAGGGAATGAAGATAATGCTTGTCCAGCATTCTGCCTCTGCATTAAACAGAAGCTATTAGGGATCACTAACTGGGCTTTTGGCAAATCTTTCCTTTTGTTCTGCCTCTGTGAAGACTGAGGGAAGTTGGTTCAGTCCACAGAGATCGCTGGCAGTGGACACAATCTAGGTTGCTTTGTCAGTGATGTGGTCAATGGCTGGGATCTGTCCAATTCCTCTTGGTTATTTTAGGCTGTTGTAGGCATGTTCTCTCTCCTACAGTTGTTGGGCACTGCCCACCGTGGTCATTTTGACTTGGGTTGCAGGAAAGATTGAATTCCTGGCTTCTGCAGAGGTATCTGACTGTGTAATACCTTTTTAAAGTGCTTGTTGGGTCTTACACAGGCTTTTGCTATATATGGGTTTAGCACTCTTAAGAGAGTATGTTAGTCCCCTGCTGCACAGAAGGTCAATTTAATTACAAGTTTTCTGTTGCTGCTGGGTCATTGCAGACCCTGTGTGTGGTGTGGAGAGGCAGGAATCTCCAGCAGTTTCCCACTTTCCAGCTAATGATCATGACAATTGTGATGACAATAATGGTGGTGGCATTGAATCTTTCCCCAGTTTGGGGGCTGGGGGGGGTGGGGAGTAGAAGTTAATTCTTGTTTTTCCTTTTGTTTGGGAGTCCTAGCATAGGACTTCAAGGTGGTCATGGATGGATCAGGTTTGCTTTCAACCTACTGGCTCAGAAATGCGATTGGCTGCTCGTATGACTGGGAATGTGCAGCAAGAACCACACATTCTTAAGTCCATGTGCCAAGGATTGGGGTAGGTGAACTAGGACCACAGTGACTGTGAATGATCCAGAGTTGCTGAGGAGAGGGAGATGTTGCTAGGGGGCAGCTAGATATTCACATTCTCATAGGTCACTCTTGTCCTTTCTCCTCTGCCACTCTAATTTGCAGAGAATGCTTGATGGCATAAAAGCACTACAGACCCCTTTCCAGGTGGAAGCTCCTTTATACAAGCACGAGCCAGAACGTTTCTCTTTTCTTGTGGAATTTTTATGCCTTAACTGTTTAGCTTCCCTGTCTGTCTTATGTAACTCTCACATGCACAAGCTTCCCGTCTTCTGCTGCTTGCAATTTTTTCTCAGGCAGTGCTACAGTTTCCACAGATGCTACCCACCCCAAAATATTATCCACTCTCCTTCCTCCTTCTCTGTTCTTTTGCAGTGAATTCATTCCCCCATCTGCAGTCCCCAGTCTTCTCTCTGAGTATGATGTTACAGACACCTATCTTCAGAAGTAGCCCAACCTATAAAGCCTTTCTGCTGGCTCAAGGACAGGGAGAGTACAATATGCCCTAAGATACAACACACTGTATTTTAAAATAACCCAGGCTCAGCTTTACTTGTGCCTTCATCCAGTCTCCATTCAACCAGACCACTCAACTCAGCTCTTTTGGGCACTCATATTGAAGGATAGTTTTAGAAATTGGGAGTGGGAAGACCTGGGGAATCCTGGGGGACACTGTGGCAAGTAATGTGTAATGGCAGAAGTGTAATGGCTGAGATGATGTAGGGCAGTGTTGTCCAAACTTGGCCACTTTAAGATGACTGGACTTCAACTCCCAGAATTCCCCAGCCCGGCATGCTGGGTGGGGCGTTCTGGGAGTTGGTCCACTCATCTTAAAGTGGCCAAGTTTGGACAACACTGCCCTAGGGCAAAGAAAGGTTGAAGTGACTCATTTGAGTCC